AAGACTGAATTTGTGGAGCACCAGTTGTTGAAGAGACTACTGTAAACTGTACTCTGAAGAAGGGGCTGCTTATTTAGATTCTTTATTTAGATTCTTACTTAAAAACTGAAAAAAAATAATGGAGCACCCAGGAGAAACTGTTTTACTCTTTGTAGGGAACGAACCAGCTGATCACTACTAACACCACAACCTTTATTTCAAAGGTCATTTCAAAAAGGAGGGAATATTTAAATTGGATTGGTATTAAATGAAGGGGTAATGACTTACTATGAACGTGTGCTACTGTTTTATTTGTATCTACTTGTATATTTGTATTAGTTTTATAGTTTTGATACGGCCAAATGATTAAATCAATAAAGATTCTCTTCTCTTCTCTTCTCCTCTCCTCCCCTCCTCTCTTCTATTCTGTATTTTTTCTGCATTCCATTCTATTCTGTATTTTTTCTGCATCCTATCCTGTCCAGTCCAGTCCAGTCCAGTCCAGTCCAGTCCAGTCCAGTCCAATCCAATCCATGGCAGTTTGTGTGTTTTTATTTTAAAACAGAATAATAGAATTAGATTAGATTAGATTAGATTAGATTAGATTAGATTAGATTAGATTAGATTAGATTAGATTTAGATTAGATTAGATTAGATTAGATTAGATCAGAACAGAACAGAACAGAACAGAACAGAACAGAACAGAACAGAACAGAATTCTTTATTGGCCAAGTGTGATTGGACACACAAGGAATTTGTCTTGGTGCATACGCTCTCAGTATACATAAAAGAAAAGATACATTTGTCAAGAATTATAAGGTACAACACTTTTTTTTTAAATTTGATTTATATGCCGCCCTTCTCCGGAGACTCAGGGCGGCTTACAGTGCATTAAGCAATAGCCTTAATGATAGTCATAGGGAAACAAGCTCTCCTTACCTTATTACTTTTAAAGAATATACATTCCACATTAGATTATACATTATTGGTGCAATTTTTAATTTTCTGTTTTAGTTTTAATTAAAAAAAAAAAGCTCATTTAAGCCATTCACCCGACTGCCTAAAGAGCAGATTTAAAGTTGCATAATAAAGCGTTTAAAGCAAACAGACAGAAAGAGTTGCCAGAAGCCAAAGATCAAACGTCCAAGCAATGCAATCATCGTGTCCAAGCCAAGTGAGAGGAAAGCAAGCCAAAAAAAAAGCAGACAGAATTATGACTGCTTTTCTTCTTCATGGATCCCATGAGTAGGTTTAGGAAAGGTTTACTCAATTTGCTTAACTTAGTTGCCAAAGTTTAGAAGGTCTTTTTTTTTTTTTTTGCACTCATCCCCACAAAAAGTCAACAATAGACAAATCCAGGAACAAAATCTCAAGGAAGGCCACTGGCTCACTGAAGTGATATAAACTAGGTTATGAATATAGCAATGTTCCAAAGGTTAGGCATTGCTACAGAAATGCAGCATGCCCAGGTCCCAACTGCAATGCGAAAGATAAGGAATATTAGCCAATATCTAAACCGAGTTGATTCTGGAGAATAAAGTCCTAGGTCTAAGAAAGTTTTCTAAATGTGTAGCATTATAAAGTTAAACCAACACTTTGACTTCTACTGAAAGCCTCTTGAAAGCCAATAACTGACACATAGCATTTGTGTCATGTGCTCTTGCAAAGTGTACTAGAATAGAATAACAGAGTTGGAAGGGACCTTGGAGGTCTTCTAGCCCAACCCCCTGCTCAGGCAGGAAACCCTACACCACTTCAGACAAATGGTTATCCAACCTCTTCTTCAAAACTTCCAGTGTTGGAGCATTCACAACTTCTGGAGGCCGGTGTTCCACCGATTAATTGTTCTAAGTGTCAGGAATTAGATTAGATTAGATTAGATTAGATTAGATTAGATTAGATTAGATCAGAACAGAACAGAACAGAACAGAACAGAACAGAACAGAACAGAATAGAATTCTTTATTGGCCAAGTGTGATTGGACACACAAGGAATTTGTCTTGGTGCATACACTCTCAGTATACATAAAAGAAAAGATACATTTGTCAAGAATTATATGGTACAACACTTTTTTTTTTTTAATTTGATTTATATGCCGCCCTTCTCCGGAGACTCAGGGCGGCTTACAGTGCGTTAAGCAATAGCCTTAATGATAGTCATAGGGAAACAAGCTCTCCTTACCTTATTACTTTTAAAGAATATACATTCCACATTAGATTATACATTATTGGTGCAATTTTTAATTTTCTGTTTTAGTTTTAATTAAAAAAAAAATAAAGCTCATTTAAGCCATTCACCCGACTGCCTAAAGAGCAGATTTAAAGTTGCATAATAAAGCGTTTAAAGCAAACAGACAGAAAGAGTTGCCAGAAGCCAAAGATCAAACGTCCAAGCAATGCAATCATCGTGTCCAAGCCAAGTGAGAGGAAAGCAAGCCAAAGAAAAAGCAGACAGAATTATGACTGCTTTTCTTCTTCATGGATCCCATGAGTAGGTTTAGGAAAGGTTTACTCAATTTGCTTAACTTAGTTGCCAAAGTTTACAAGGTCTTTTTTTTTTTTTTTTTTTTTGCGCTCATCCCCACAAAAAGTCAACAATAGACAAATCCAGGAATAAAATCTCAAGGAAGGCCACTGGCTCACTGAAGTGATATAAACTAGGTTATGAATATAGCAATGTTCCAAAGGTTAGGCATTGCTACAGAAATGCAGCATGCCCAGGTCCCAACTGCAATGCGAAAGATAAGGAATATTAGCCAATATCTAAACCGAGTTGATTCTGGAGAATATAATCCTAGGTCTAAGAAAGTTTTCTAAATGTGTAGCATTATAAAGTTAAACCAACGCTTTGACTTCTACTGAAAGCCTCTTGAAAGCCAATAACTGACACATAGCATTTGTGTCATGTGCTCTTGCAAAGTGTACTAGAATAGAATAACAGAGTTGGAAGGGACCTTGGAGGTCTTCTAGCCCAACCCCCTGCTCAGGCAGGAAACCCTACACCACTTCAGACAAATGGTTATCCAACCTCTTCTTCAAAACTTCCAATGTTGGACCATTCACAACTTCTGGAGGCAAGTTGTTCCACTGATTAATTGTTCTCACTGTCAGGAAATTTCTCCTTCGTTCTAGGTTGCTTCTCTCCTTGATTAGTTTCCACCCATTGCTTCTTGTCCTGCCCTCAAGAGCTTTGGAGAATAGCTTGACTCCCACTTCTTTGTGGCAACCCCTGAGATACTGGAAGACTGCTATCATTTCATCCCTATTCCAGACCCAATTCCAGCAAACATTCTTTATATGTTTTAGCCTCCAGTCCCCTAATCATCTTTGTGGCTCTTCTCTGCACTCTTTCTAGAGTCTCCACATCTTTTTTACATCGTGGCGACCAAATAAGCTGACTTTGTAGAAACACTGCTTTTGGGGGGCCAAAAGCCTTAATAAGCAGGTATATACAAAAGAATGAAGGTTATTGCTATAAGTGCATTGTAAGCCACCCTGAGTCTCCGGAGAAAGGCGGCATATAAATTGAACAAACAAACAAACAAATAAATAATTGGCAAACCATACACAGGTGCAGTAAGTTAAAATACTCTCTATGGTGCAACAGTAGAAAGCCACCAGCAGTTTTTCATTCAGTTGTTGTTTCCTGAGAAGTCTCAGGTAGTATAATCTCTGCTGGGCCCTTTTGACCAGTGCTGCAATGTGAGGGTCCCAGGTATCCTGTCTTTATTAGTTTTACAAATAAACTGAAGCTGGTGAACATATCCAACATACCTTCCTCCTCTTATCTGCCCCAAAACAACAACCCTGTGAGGTGGGTTGGCTGAGAGAGAGTGACTGGTCCAAAGCAACCCAGCTGGCTTTCATGGCTAAAGCAGGCCTTGAATTCATGGTCTCCTGTTTTCTAACTTGGTGCCTTATCCACTAGACCAGAGTTCCCCAACCTTTCTGGAGCTGGATGGGGGGAGGGAGGGGCCTGAATAGGGGGGAAAGAGGGGCAAGGGCCTTTATATGTGCATGTGCAAGTGCAAATAGGGCCGTGAGCGCAGGCACAATGCAAACGAGGTGGTGACGGCAGCTCCTGTATGGTGACGGCAGCGCCCGTGTGGTAACAGTAGCACCTGTGCAGCATTTGCGGTAGGGCCCATACGGTGCTCGCATCAGTAGCGCCAGCACAGCACTCATGGTGATGCTAGCAGGAATGGGGGGTGCGCGCATATGTATGCTGGGCAGCCAGTCATGCAGCCCAGTGGCCAACAGGCCACGTACTGGTACCATGTTTTCCCGAAAATAAGACCCTGTCTTATATTTTTTTGAACCCTGAAATAAGCTCTTGGCCTAATTGCCATGCACTCAAAAAGCCCAATTGGGCTTATTATCAGGGGATGTCTTATTTTGGGGGAAACAGGGTAGTGGGCCGTGGCCCACAGGTTGGGGACTCCTCCACTAGACCAAACTGGCTCTCATTGTTTTAATTCTCATTATTTTATTCTCAGGGTTAGAACTTTCTCTTTTTTGCAGAAATTAAGTTAAGGGAAAAGAAACAGAATGCCTTTGCAAAATGCCACTCTCTGAAATGGAAGACCAAAAAAAAAAATTATTATATGTATATCTATCACGGTACGCCATCACAATGTTTCTTTCTTCAGCGCATTTGTTTCCTGGCTGTCATATTAAAATTAATAACCGTAAGTGGTTTTGGAGCTAGGAATAGGTGGCTAAGGAACTGCAATAGTAGGAAATGGTCATATACAATGGATGTTTCATTGTTTTAAAAGCAAATGAATAACTAACTCCTTACTGGGCATTCTCCCAATGTTTCCTGAACTTTCTCGCACATGGTCTTATATAATATAATCCCAAGAAAATTAAATTTGCAATGAAATGTAACTATAATTCAGGAGTTTATTTTTTTTTCTTTCAGCATAAGAACTCCTTTGTTTGGGCGAAGATATAAAAGCACACCACTTTCCATTTCAAATAAACTTTTAACATAAAGTAAGAAAAGTATTGGCAACATACCTGAAAAAGAACATAAACAGGGCAGCTGTTACACAGAATAAAAGGACCTATAAAAAGGGGAAAAAAACATTATTTAGACAGCTAATCCCAATAAGTACTTCCAAACCAAGATCAGATTTCAGGAAGTTTTAAATAATTCAGAGACCTCATTAGGCACGTTATAAAAAGTGAACTTTACAGTGAAAAGTGTCAATAACAAAGTTACAAAGAATGGGGGGGGGAGCCACATATTTTAGCCACATATTTGGGGGTGACAAGGCAGCCACTGGGGTTAGTCAACATGATTCTGTTTAAGCATTGCCTATTATTATGAGTTTAGGTACATTTTGTTGTTTATGGGTGTAAGCCATCTAGAAAGATGTGATTGACTGAAAAACGGGGGAAAAAATTAATGAAGCAAAAAAGTATATCAAAGATACGATGGTGAATGATCACCTTTACACACATCAAAAAATATATAAATGGATGTGTGTGTGTGTGTTCCAGCATAACTGTGGAATGCCTCGAGCAATTTCAACCAAATTTAGTACACAGATGACTTACACTCTGGAAAGAAATACTGTGGGGTAAGATACCCCTAACACCAACATATTTTTATATATTATTTTATATATTGTTGAGACCAAAACTGATGCAGTATTCCAAGTGTTGTCTTACCATCAAGCAGGGGTGTCAAACTCAAGGCCTGCAGGCTAGATCTGGCCCGTGGTGCTGCCCTGGAAACAGCGGACTGGTCCGTGATGCCTCTGCCAACGAAAATGGAGCCCGGGAGAGCCGCTCTGTTTTCGCTGGCAGAGGGCTGCAGGAGGCTCTCTCCAGCCCCGCCCAGGTCGCCACAGGTCAGGGGTGATATTCCGTTGCTACAGGTTCACAAATGTGAACACATGTGCAACCTCTGCACATGCGCAGGGCCTTCTGCGAATGCGCAGAGCATCGAAAACATGGATAAATGGGGCGTGATTATGTCCGGGAAGGTAGGCGGAGCACCCCACAGTCGCCGCTACCAGTTCACCTGAACCAGATAGAACCAGATGAATACAACCACTGCCACAGGTGCCCCCAACACGAATGACATCGAGCTGGCCATGCCCGAGCTGGCCACGGCCCCCCCGAGGTCAAACACAACCCTGATGCGGCCCTCAATGAAATCAAGTTTGACACCCCTGGCATGAGGCATTATAAAGTGGCAGATTTGCAATCGTTTCTATTCTCTCTCCTATCCACCTGCATCCATCAATCTACTGCATTGGCACTTGTATCTGGATTTACTGCAGATTAAGAAAAATCTGCAAGAGTCCACAGACGTGGCCAAATTATGAGTACTCTCTGACTTGAGTTGCACATATAAACACTCCTTGCAACCCCCCCCCGTTACATTTCCGTGTGTTTCCATTGCTACCTGCTGGCATAAACCCTTGCACAATTTCAGCAGAGGCACACTAACCCACTTGTGTTTTGGCATGTCAGTCCAAGTTAATTATTTTATCTCAGCAGCGGGTGATGTTGGCAGCCGTTCAAATGGCTAGAAGGCACTTTTTGATCATTAACAGTCAACATGGGAGCATGTGATTAAATAAAGACTGTGGGTTCACAGTAAGCTCTTTCACCTTTTTTTGAAAGGCAAAAAACTAACTTGTGTTAATTTTTAATTGCTGTTCTAAAACAAATGTGTTTATAATTGTTAGTGCTACTTTGATAGTCCATAAAAAGAAAGATGACATTTTAAAAACTCTTTCTCACTCTCTCCATCGCTGATAGGATTAACATTTTAAATCTAACATTTGATGTTTACCAACTCCAAAAAGCTTTTCTCCTTTCATTAGGTGTTTAGCTTGAAAATTAGTAAAAGATAACTACCGTATAAGACACAGCTTTTCCCACCCCTAAAAGGGGGTGAAAATTTAGGTGCGTCTTATACACCAAATGTAGCCCCGGCCACCCACTGACCCCCACCCTTTGGCCTCTGCCTCCCAGCAGTTTACCTCCTTGCAACCAGCAGTAAGAAGAAACTGCTTGTTTCAGCTTCAGCACAGCCTAATTAGCACAAATTAATTGGATCGGTCTCCCGACTCTCAGCTGTTTTGCTCTCAGCTGTTTTGCGTGGGCCTCTGCTGCTTGCTGCAAGGAAGTAAATTGCTGAGAACAGATTTTTTTTTTCCTTGTGCTAATCAATCACTGCCCTGAGTCCTTCGGGAGTAGGGCGGTATATAAATCTAATAAAATGAAAATGAAAAAATGAAAGCTATACTGAAAATGAAAATGAAAGCAAAACAGGCTATTTGCTATTTGCTACAACGAGGCAAAATTGCTGGGAGGCAGAGGCAGATTTCTTTTTCTTGTTTTCCTCACCAAAAAAGGTAGGTGCGTCTTATAGTCCAGAGCGTCTTATACTCCAAAAAATACGGTAATATCTTTAACTAATGTCTCCTGTCCAGTCATTTAACTAATATCTCCTGTCCAGTTAGGGTTAGGGTCTGATTCTAGGGGCCGATGCTCATCTCTGTTTCTTAGCCGTGGGAGCCAGCATTGTCCGAAGACATTTCTGTGGTCATGTGGCCAGCATCGCTATATGTCACCAAAGATGCACCAAACTCTGTTACCTTCCCACTGAAGTGGTACCTATTTATCTACTTGCATTTGCATGCTTTCAAACATGAAGTTCAACAAATTATGAGTCATGCAATACAGGCAATCCTCGACTTACGACCACAATTGAGACCAACATTTATGCTGCTCAGTGAGATAAGTTGTTAAGTGAGTTTCGCCCCATTTTACCTTTCTTGCCACAGTTCTCGAGTGATTCACTGCAGTTGCTAAGTTAGTAACGCGGTCATTAAAGTGAATCTGGCTTCCCCATTGACTTTGTTTGTCAGAAGGTCACAAAATGTGACCTGGGATACTGCAACCGTCATAAATATGAGTCAGTTGCCAAGAGTCCTGATTTTGATCACGTGACTGTCATGCCCCTGTCGGAGTCTGAATCTGCGGGGGAAGATGAACAAGAGCCGACAGAGATTGAGATGGCGGCTTCGTTGGCCATGGAGGAAACTGGGGAAGGGCAGAGTCAGTCCAGGTAAGGCTTTCCAGGATTAGAAAGGTTTGCAGACAGGGAGAAAAGAGCTCCACCCCTTCCTGATCCTAGAGCATGCAGAGAAGAGAGAAGGCGAGAACAACGCAGATTGAGCCGGCTACGAGGGACTGTAAATCCAACACTGGATTTTTTAAAGAAGAGATTGGACAACCATTTGTCTGAAGTGGTGTAGGGCTTCCTGCCTAAGCAGGGGGTTGGACTAGAAGACCTCCAAGGTCCCTTCCAACTCTGTTATTCTATTCTATATGTTAGGATTCCTATCTGAAAATATCTTTAAAATATAGGAACCTGACAGATTAAGCCAACAGCCTATCTTGTGCAACATGCTGTACTGCACTATAACTAGACAAACATATCTGAAATATTTTTAACAGGGCCAAAAGGGTCATCGGATCCTTTCAAAGGTGTGTTTTTCTTACTGTCCATAATCAAGTGCTAATTAATTTCACTGAATGACTCCCATGTTCTGGTATTATGAGAGAAGGTAGGGGGGGAAATCTATTTCCACCACATTGTCCTGTTATTTCCTGTTGCAAGCAGTCTCTTCCTCTATTACTTTTAAACAGGCCCCTTAACTTCTAAATATATTCAGCACATGTGATTTAAAAATATTTCTGTTGTTCTTTTTTTTTTTTTTAGTTCCATTGTACTTCTTGGGAAAACATCATTATTCACACTTAGAAAAAGAATATCACCATAAATATTCCAGGGGCAGAGGGATAGCTTTAAGACTGCAGAGTGTAAAGGGATGGTAAATGGGGATTATCATATAGCTGTATTAAATGATGGAGAGAACTGGAAAGCTTTCCTCCAGAGACTGGAAAAAAATAGAAGAGGAATCTGACTTATACTGAGCCACGTACTATGTTAGAAATCAGGCTTTCTAGATTTCTCTACAAAGTTCAATCCTAACCCTCTTTCCCCTTGGGTTATACATGGTAATCTGAAACAATATGGAGGCATACCTGAACTCAAGAAGTGTGTTCCAATTTAGAATTTAGGAATCTTTTCCCCCCGTTTCATTTATACTCTATTATTATGTAATAAAAAGGGACGCGGTGGCTCAGTGCCTAAAACACTGAGCTTGTCGATCGAAAGGTTGGCAGTTCAGCGGTTCGAATCCCTAGTGCCGCGTAATGGGGTGAGCTCCTGTTACTTGTCCCAGCTTCTGCCAACCTAGCAGTTCGAAAGCCCGTAAAAAATGCAAGTAGAAAAATAGGGACTACTTTTGTGGGAAGGTAACAGCGTTCCGTGCGCCTTTGGCATTTAGTCATGCCAACCACATGACCACAGAGACGTCTTCGGACAGCGCTGGCTCTTCAGCTTTGAAACGGAGATGAGCACCGCCCCCTAGTGTCAGGAACAACTAGCACATATGTGACAGGAACTTTTACCTTTTATTATGTAATAGAATTGTGTACAAATAACCAAATATGTAATCAGTGCATCAACTGCATCAACTTGTATTGAAATTTGAAACATGAGAAAACATGCAAAATAATATCTGATAAAGTGGATATATCCTTTAGAGGCTATGTCTCTGGGCAGCTTTCTTCTCCCCAAAAAAAAAAATCTGAAATCTGTACAAAAATATGTACTTGTTTGATTATCCAGAATGATCTCCCAGAGAATTTGTCAATTACATTAGATTTTATCAGCATGCATAATTTTTTCTGTTGACTTCTGCTGAGACAACATCCTCTTATAGTTTAGCTGTTCCCAAAAAAGTGGATTTTGGTAAGTAATCTTAATCTGAGCTCTCCATGGTCCTGTTCTTAATCCACCTTCTAAGCAACATGATTTTTCACTGTGTCTTCCTTTATTGTTACCTATGTGATCTAAGTCACTGGGAGAAAGCTGGCAGCCCGGGTTCAAGACCTGAGCGCCGCATGATGGGGTGAGCTCCCGTTACTTGCTCCAGCTCCTGCCCACCAAGCAGTTTGAAAGCATGCAAAT